GACACTGGCACAGGTTGCCCAGAGAAGTCGTGGCTGCCCCATCCCTGTCAGTGTTCAAGGCCAGGTTGGATGGGGCTTTGGGCAACCTGGTGTAGTGGAGGGAGTCCCTGCCCATGGCAGGGGGGTTGGAACTAGATGATCCTTGAGGTCTCTTGCAACCCAAACCATTCTATGATTCTATGATAATTTTAAGAATAGAGACTGAAATCAGTGCTGTAAACACAGACAGGTCAGGCAGCTGTGGTGGACCTTGAATGCAGAGAAACAGCTTCATGTGGCAGTCACTGTTAGTAAGCTGGTCTGTATTTCGAGGGATAAAAGCACGCTGTAAGAGTAAGCTCTTGGCACAGGATCCTACTGTGACTGTAGTAAAAGTATCTTACGCCATACAAAATCTTAATATTTTATGATCGCTTACGAGTTAAGTGCGTACAGGACAAAAAAGTCAAGTGATCACAACAAATTCTAGTTTAGAAACTGGAGAGGAACATACAGGTGACTACTACTGTATAAATATATGTTAATTTTATTTATCTATTTTAAAGTCCTGAAACAGACTAATTTCAAAGTAGCCTGGAAAGGCTATTTTAGTTTTGGAAATACATTTGGAATAACGGAGGTCATTGGAAGGGCAACATCGTGAAGATGGAAGCAGCTTGAGAATCACCAAGGGCATGAAGCTTCTCTTCCCAGAACCCCCATTTGCTGCTTGGAAATCAGGGTGTACCATCTATTATCCATCTGCAACCAGCTTCGAACGAGTCGGCACCTAACCTGATAGGATATTGCCCCAAATACTCACTTCTACGCCCTTTATGTGCCAAACATCTGGGTTTATGTTGCCTTGTGAAGTCAGTGTGTGTGTTTGTGAAGGGATATGTTCCTTAATGTTGAAACAAATTGGAAAGGGAATTGGGAAACACTTCTAATACTGTGATGTTTAGCATAGTGTGTGTGTAAAACTGTGACGTTGCTCAGCTTTTATTAAAGTGTGTGATAATTATTTGGTGGTTAAATAAAATAGCAGAGCTCCACAAATGTAGCATTTAAGGTGGGTTGACTTCACTGTGCAACAAAGATCTTTTTCCTTTCTTGCACTAAGTCCAAAGTTTCAGTAATGATAATTTTCTTAATATACTTTGCTTCCTTTCAAAAAAATCGCAGTATTTGATTCTTCAGGAAATGGAAAGATATGAGTGTTTTCCTCAGATATACACACTGGGATAATGTATCTTTCAGGGTTTTTTTTTCTGTATATTTGACTTAATTAACCAACTTATTTTATTTCTCCAAATAGGATTGCAGTTTGTAAATGGATTCTGAAAGTCAGAAAAGAAGCGAAAAAAAGATGAGGAAATGAAGTGGGGAAAAATGTCAAGTAGGAAATACAGACAGGGAGTGGAAAAAAAAAGAGTCCCTCTTCTGGAGTCAAAATCCTATCAGCTGGTATACTTTTGATGGGAGAAATGGTAGGAATAGTATACCTACATATAATGTTAGAGGAAAAGTAAAACATACATAAGTTAAACGAAAATGAAATTTACTGGACGAAATTGTGTACTAGATTGTGCTGTCTAACAGTTCCCAGGGATCTCAACGAAATGTTGCCTCTACTGTGAGTTGAACTTGCCAGTCCCCAGGTTCTAGTCTGGCTGTTCCTTGCATGTGTCCTGGAGGACTGAGCCGTTTGGAGAGGCAGATGGAAAACCAACAGCCTCTTCCAGGAAGCCTGCAGCTCTGCCTGCCTGGATGGAAGATGGAGTTGTTCCTTCAGGCTTTGGGAAGACCGGGAATGCTGAAGCTTCTCGGAGGCGGTTCCCTTACTGGGGCATCACTTTTATAGATAGCATCAAGAAGTGCTTAAAATCAAATTTGCCATTTAAAAGCAGGCAAAGCCCTCTTGAGATCTCCAGGGAGATCTTCTAGCAGCCTTCTAGTACCTAAAGGGGGTCTTTTTACAAGGGTGTGTAGTGATAGGAGAAGGGGCAATGGCTTTAAACTGAAAGAGGGGAGATTTCATTTAGATCGATTTCATTTAGATCTAAGGAAGAAAATTTTACAATGAGGATAGTGAGGCAGTGGAACAGGTTGCCCAGAGAAGTTGTGGCTGCCCCATCCCTGGCAGTGTTCAAGGCCAGGTTGGATGAGGCTTTGGGCAACCTGGTGTAGTGGAAGGTGTCCCAGCTCATGGCAGGGGGGTTGGAACTAAATGATCTTTGAGGTCCCTTCCAACCCAAACCATTCTGTGATTCTATGTTTCTATTTATTCTTTAGTTGCAATGGCTCTGTCTGAAGTTAGCCCTCCTTGCAGCAGCCCCCACTCCTCAGAGCTCAGTGCTGAGCCTGGACCACGTGTGTCTCACCACTGAAAGCTCTGTGGTCTGACAGCGTGCGGCTTTCCGTGCCGTGTCATCGCCCTTGCACCCATTCGCTTCCTCCAACTCCCACGGACTTGTGAAACAGCTCATGACCTCTCCCTGCATCACCCGCTCTGCAAATCCAACTTTTCAACCCTAGCAGACTGTGCGTCTCAGATATTGGCCAAATCCATGAAGAGATCCCCACCATCTCCTACAAGCTTTGGAGCAGATCCTAGAGCGGGAATTTGCTCCGGATCCTCTTGTGCTGCTTCACTGCCACGTGTCCATAATTTCATAGATTTCATAGATTTCTAGGTTGGAAAAGACCTCAGAGATCATCGAGTCCAACCGTCCCTAATCCCCATTAAACCATATCCCTAAGTAGATCATCCACCCTATTCTTAAACACATCCATGGATGGGGACTCAACCACCTCCCTGGGCAGCCTATTCCAGTGGCTGACAACCCAACTTCCTTGGAGTCAGTCAGCGAAGCTCTCGAGCCTTTCTGCCAGTGAGGAGCCCAGGGAGCCAAACACAGCGGGACAAATCCTGCCCCTAGTTTGGACGTGCAACGCTCATGAGGCTGGTAGAGCAGAGCAAGGAGAGAAGTTGTGTTGCACCTCGGACCCAGCGATAGCTGCCGCCCTCCCAGCGCTAAGGCAATAAATCCCAGGGGATCTGGGTTTGTTCTCCTCCAAATCACTTTATTATATTGTGAGTAATCACAAAGCCTTACAATGCTGCAAAGGTTCTTCAAAAAACCCCAACAAACTAACACAGCGACGGTATTTGCCAGCTTTCGCTAAGGCTCGTTTAGCTCCCAGCTCGCGTGGGATGACACGAGGAAATCTTGCAGTCTGCGGTTGGATTGTCACATTGGGTTTTAAACTTACCACAGTGGCGCAAAGACAGGAACTTTGACAGGACGTGATCCCCCGAAACATCTCATCCACGTACGGACTTAGAAAATTAAACCACTAGTTAAAAATTACGTTTTCTGCCAGCAGAAAAGAATTCTCTTAAAAAGGCAAGATCCACTAAAAAAAAAACACCTCTTCCCTTCCACACTGTCCCCATCTTGCACCGCAGCTGGTGGCTGCTCCCCTCCAGATTCCTGCCTGTAGGCAGTCCCCATTGCCTTTTTAAGAGAATCGATGTTTCTTGTTGACTGTGAAGGCTGGTCGAGCATTGCAAAGGCTCAGTAGAGAAGAAAAAAACCCCAGCACTGAAAGAAAGAGTTAAAATCCCACCCTAAGATCTGTGATTGAAAAGGAGATGGATGAAAAGAGGTTTCAGTCTCCAAAGGGAGGTGTTGACTCTGGCTTTTACAGCCTCAATGGGTTTCAACCATCCCTGGAGACAGCTGCTTTGGACAATAGGGTTTCCATTTGCAAAGACCTTTGGGAGTGTGAGGATGAAGCCTAAGGTGCTCCCAACACTCCCAAGGAGGGAGTGTGATGGGTTTATATCTGCATCAACTTGTGTGGGCCTCCTTAAACCAGCTTCAAACATCGAAGGTTGCCCTAATACAAGCTGCAGACCAGCCCAAGCATGACCCCCATCCGAAACATCCCTTCCCACCCCCAGGACAGAGCGTACTAGATTTGGACCAGATCTCAGTAGACATCTCCATTGCAGGAGCTCCTATAAGCAGGCTGAAGGCTTCACAGATGTGTTGAGTCAAGCTGTGCCTCTTTTCCCTGCTTTCTCCTATCTTGGAGAAGAAGAGGGATGAGAGGGGTTTCCCTTTGCTTTGCCAGCATTTCAGCAATGAAGGAAGAAATGATTAAATCTCTGAGGACCAGGCTTTTGATCAGATTTTGGTTGGTAGCCAAGGAGCTGTGCAAGAAAAGGAAAAGGCTCAACTCTGGAAAACAAAAACCCAAGATCTTCCCCCTGATATGCAAAGCGCTCCAGGGTCACAGGCATCAATTCTTCCCTTGGCACGTTCTGGAGAGTGTTTTGGTGCTGGAAATTGCCTCACACCAGTCCAGCTGAGTTGCAGATGTTGCGTTCAGATGGGGGACATCGGCGTGGAAGCAGCTTACTCTCATGTCCTTTGGGTCTGCTTCTTGGTGTGATAAGGTCATCAAGACAAGAATCCCTGTTAAAGTTTTCTTCCAAGTTTCCTCAGAAAGGGAGGAGGGATTTTTACAATATTTTTTTTTAAGCTAGACTTCATGATCTCTTCACTTTGCAACTCAGTCAATTCGCTTCATGGGAGGCTGGTCCCTGGGTGAGATGTGGCTGTTGGCAGACCCTTCCGCTTCTCTTGCTCCACTGCACATCATCTCTGAGCAGTGGCTTGCTACAGTCAAAAAGACAGGAGGTTGCCAAGGTTGGACCTGAAGTAATTTGACATGAAAAGGATCGAGATGGGAAAACAGGGAGAAAATTGTGGGAAAAGTTCTCGACTTCCTCAATGTTCATTGCACACGGATGCAAATAGCATGTAAAAACCAGCACATTAGGAGCACCCTGCATTCAGGTTTGTCTGGAAATGTCTCTTCGAGACTGAAAGTGCATGACAGGGAACAGGGAGCTGCTAATGAAGGCAACATCCAGAAGGCACTTCTTGGGGAATAATAATTAAAAAAGAGGGATGATGCACAGGTTTGTAAGCAAGCAGCTAGAGTTGGTACGTTTTGGTGGGTGCTCTGCAGAGACGTAGCTTTGCTCCTACAGACGTGTCTGGGGCACGGACGTTTCCTACAGACCAGCTATTCCACTCTGGGACCTGCAGAGCAGCTTGGTCCCTGTTGTCCAGCATCACTGCTCTTGAGCTAACGTGCTGCGTGCAGGACCTCAATGCACCGAGCAAAATCTGGAGCCTGCAGATGACTTGGGCCAGGATTTGAGTTTATAAAATCCACAAACGATCAAGTATTGGCATATACAAATATATAAATTATTGACAGTTTTACAAAAGGCACACTGCAAGCCATCTCAGTCCGACACCTGTACAAATCCCACGGCCCAATACCCTCCCTTCCCCACCCCTTCTCCCCAGCTTTCATCACGAAACGTAAGGCGCTGCTGCTACGGACCCGTGGCTGTCGTGGCAACTGAGGACCTCTTTTTTGGTCAGTCCAACTTGTCGGTGGTACTGTCCTTCTTTGATGGTCTTAAGACACTGTATGTTCTTCCCCAAGGTGATGCTTTTGATGGAAGGCAGGTATTTCAGCACAGTCTTTGGCAAGGATGACACACCTGTCCCAGAGAGGTTGAGCTCTTGTAGGGAGTTCAAACCAAGGACCACTTCAGCAGTCAGTGACTTCAGGTTGGGGTTGCTGGATAAATCCAGAACTTGGAGGGCTGCTAGGTCCTTGAAGCTATAAGGAGATAACTCTCCAAAGCCATGCAAGCCACTGAGGGATAAATGAATCAAATCTTTCAGCCCTGTGAAGTCTCCTTTGTCAATCTTGACTAGAGGGTTCCCGTCAAGATTTAAATATCGGAGAGGAATCCCTTGAAGATTTGGCACAGACATTAGTCTGTTTCCAGAAAGATTTAAGTTCTGGATGTTGAGGATGCTCTTTTCACGGTGCCTTGTAATTGTGCTGAGCATATTATTGGATAGATCCACATTCAGGGGTTTTCCTTGACCTTTGGAAGCAAAAATGTCCATTACTATATCCAAAAGCTTGTTATTGCTCAAATCTATGTCACCCAGAGGAGAACTGGAGAAACAGTCCTCTGGAAGGACTTCCAGAGAGTTATGACTCAGATCCAAGGACTCCAGGTACCGAAGCCTGGAGAAGGTTGTGGAGGATATCTTGGCAATTTTATTGTAGCTCAGGTCAAGGCTCACCAAGGTGGTGTATCCGGGGCCAGTAAGCATTGATTCATTGATTGATTCCAGTTTGTTTGATGATAGATCCAAGTAGGAGGTATCCAGAGGGATTGGGACGGGAACAATGTGTGAGCCTATTCCGCTGCAGTCCACCTTGGTCAAGCTAAAGCTGTCAAAGAGACCAAAGCTTTCCACTTCGCAATGGCAGCCGGGGAAGCAGGTTTTGGTGGTACCAAAACAAGGAAGGAGAAGCAGCAAACTGAACCAGGCCGGGAACTGCATTGTTGACCTGGAAAAACAAGAGGATAAGAAAATAGATTTAATTGCTGTAGAAATTATTTTACTGAAGATGTGTAACAGTTTGAGTCGTGCAGGTTTCTCCTCTGTCTTTCCAAAGGGATAGATTAAGTGTACCCTTAAATAGCATGGATGTCCCAAACACTTTGTCTCTCATGTTGTGAACCCCACTGGGAACTTAATGCAGAAAAAATATTAGGTTAACAGTCTTTGCAGATATAACCAAGTTAAGACACAACTGGAAAATTAGCTGTAAGAACAGTAGGATGCCTTAAAGTACCATGTATGCAACGTACACCCTTTCGACTGGACATTGAAGAGTCGAAATGGCAGCTCAAACACTGAGTCATTTTACAGCCTGGCAAACTTCAGCATAAAGAAGTCTTCACGTCAGGTATCCATGTGAGATTTGGGAGCACTGAGTTCAGGACCCTGCACTGATAGGTTGGAGAAATCATGTAGGCTCTGAACTCAGTGTGCACCTTAGGTGTCCAAAACCTGTATCAGAAGGAAAAACCAAAGCTCCTTTCAAATTTTCTATAAATGACAGAGATAATGGCATCATCAGAACATCATCCAGGATGAAGAGCTAGAAAGGCCAGCTGCCTACTGCTGAAAGGGAGAGCACATCTCCCTTGCTTAGTCTTCAGATGTAAATTTAGACGTGTTTAAGTAGGTAGGATCGGGTGGCTAAAACCACCCCTCCTCAGGCTGGTGGCAGGCAGGACAGACAGTGGCCCGCCAGAGCAGAGGAGCCAAGAACTCCTCAGTCTAACCCAGACTGTGCTGTGGTGGGCCCAGCCTCCTGCACAGGCATCAAGTGGAGAGAGCCAATTTGTTTCATACAGAGCCTCTGGGGAGTCTTTGTTAATTACATTAAGCATTCTGTCTGATTAACAATGCCAGCAAGCAAGGAGCTCTCTCCACCCCTCCTGGGTTTGAGCCTCCTCCAGCTGAGACACTTCTGTCCCTCCATCACTGCAGCCAAGAGAGGAAGAGTGCTGATCTCCGCACAACTGTGGGTGACAGCAGCTCCGTGATTTCTAGAGCCAGACAAAAAAGATCTAGCTCTGCATCTCTGGAGAGGGTAAACTGGGGCATGCCGGCATCCTGCAGGTCAGCAGAGACAGCAAGGGCTGTCCTCGTTGGTTCCCACTACAGCCGTGGGTGATGGCTCCTCATGCCTTACAAACAACAGCAACAAAAACTCCCACCAAACCAGGCAAGCAGATCCATCAGCACCGCTCTTTGGCCATGCTGCTGGTGATAAACAGAGGCTCATGTGCCAAGCACTCATTTAGTCAAAAAAAAAAAAGAAAAAAATCCCCTTTAAACGTGTGTTCCCATCCTTACCTCAGCCCTCCTGGTCTCTACTCTCACCTTTCCCACCGCTGTTTAAAAGCACTTCATTAACTTCCTCGCAGTATCATCTTTCCCACACTCCCTTTGATCTGGCTGAGGCGCCTTCCCCGCAGCCCTTGCACCTTCCCAGGACCATTTCCTAGAAGTTCACACTTTGTCTTCCCCCACTCTCCCCTTGGCATCAGTTTCTCTCCCTTTCCAGCACAGTCTTCCTGGCCCCCTGCTCTTTCCCAGGAGACGGATCAGGGACTACTTGCCAATGTGCAAAAGAGGCTCAAAGGGGGAAAAGCGTTGCAAAAATATCGTCCTGATCACAGATATGGCTTGTCTGGAGGTAACTCCCACACCTCCTGCAAATAGAGAGCAGAGATTGAGACTCTGGCCAAAAAGCCTGCATCCAAAACATTGCTGAAGGCCAACACGCAATCCTCCGGGGTCCATTATTCTATAGAAACAACAGAAAACCAGTAAGATGAGCCCTAGTCCCAGCCCATCTCAACTGTTTCTTGAGAAAGCACATATGTGTGCAGAGGGGAAGCAGGGGGTTGAGCTCCTTTCTGCAAACACGTTTCCAGATATCCCTTTCCTAATGACTGGTCCCTTCTGGTTCTGTGCAGACAGACCATAGCTTGCTCCCTTCTGCAGTCCCTCCTAAACTAAATACTACTTTTTTTTCATGAAGCTGCAGTTGGAATGCAATGAAATATTTTGTTACCAGGGGAAAGTACAGCAGTGGGGAAATTCTTTGGAAATTAAAAAAGCAAACCCCCACATGTTAAATGTCTCACATGCAGGAAGCACCTGCATTAGTGTCATCTCAGTCTATCGGTATTTCTTCTCCCAAATCCTACCCAGTGGCTATTCCCACTTGGTGTCTTGACAGAGGAAGTGCCTCCTCACTTCTCCTTTGAAAGCCCAGCTCAGTTCCTCCTGGTGTCCTGTTGGCTCCAGTGGGGACAAAAGACACATCAGGTCCAAAGACACATCAGTGTGAGACTTGGCTCTCTGAGCACTGGTAAGACCTTCATGAGCTCCTGATGGGCCCCCTGAAGAAAAGCCAGAAGGCAATCACCAAAGTCCTTGTTTAACTGGGAACAGACATTTTAGTAGGGCCTGTAGCGATTGGACAAGGGGTAATGGTTTTAAATTGAAAGAGGGGAGATTCAGACTAGATATAAAGAAGAAATTTTTTACGATGAGGATGATGAAACACTGGCACAGGTTGCCCAGAGAGGTGGTAGATGCCCCATCCCCAGAAACATTTAAGGGCAGGTTGGACAGGGCTCTGAGCAACCTGATCTAGTTGATGACGTCCCCGCTTATTGCAGGGGGCGTTGGACTAGATGACCTTTAAAGGTCTGTTCCAACCCAAACCATTCTATGATTCTATAAACTGAGAGGAGAAGTAAAGCCAGTGCTGAGCTTTGATATGCGGCTGCTCAAACCCTTTTGACGTGGAAATTCCCTTCCCAACTAGCCTCAAAGATGGTCACCAGAAGTGGGCTGATACAGTGACTCCCACTGCAACATCCACGGCTCCAGCCAGCAGCAAGGCCAAAACATCACACAGCTGAAATGGAGGACACCAAGCTCAGCTCAGGTACTTGCACAGCATCTATTGTCTCTTCCCTCCTTCGCAGCACTGGCCCGGATTCTCCCTTACTGGCTCTGCAATGGCTTTGCAGATGAGATGCAATCCACTGCTACTCGTTAAAAACTTATGGAGCAGCATGAAGCATTCACAGGATAACAAGCCACTTGGCCGATAGCTCTGATAAATATAGGAGAAATAAAGATACTGGTCATCTTCCAGTTCAAGAAAGAGACTCCTGCATTGCCAGATAATCAAAGAAGAGCTTAGTCAGGTACAGGCACGCTTTATCATCTCAGAAAGCAATGCATAGAGCTCTTTGAAATGGGGAAAGAAATATGCCACTGGCATTTACCATTCATCTGTGTACAGCGTGCATTCGAAACCACATCAAATTGCTTTTGGATTGCTGCCTACGAGCTGTTGATAAAGGCAGGAAGCCAAGGTATCCCCTCGTAAAAGGAAGATGAGTAAAAGGAAGATGAGTTATCCTCCTGCAGCACTGGGGAGATTCACCCGGAGGAAACACCACAGGCCAGAAACCACCAGCCCCGTCACCTGGGATGTCGAGGGGAAAGCCAACCAGGAGAAAACAGCCCGCTCTCAGGCTCGTTCAACCATGATCTCTTCATTTCTATGGCTGTTGCAGTGTGGAGACAACCCCAGGGATAAATTTTGGCCATCTGACAGCTCTGGGGAGCTTGTTATACCCACTGATTTCAACAGAAGCTGCTGGGGGTGCAGCGTATCCCCCAGGTTTCAGGTGCATGGAGTAGCTGCAGAGCTATGGTCTTTACATCTTGCTCGTTCTTTCTGCACGGGAAATATCCTGAGACAACCCCAAGAAGACCCAGTGGTGGGTACCGGAGCCAAGGTTGGACCAAGCTCCCAGCAGGGTGACAGCTTTCTCCCCAGATCCCACATCTCTCCCTGAGCCTGCAGATGCCCCAATCCCTCCTCCATGCTCTGCTCATCTCTTGCACCATCGTGTGGCAGGACCTGGGCGGAAACCTTACACTGAGATTTCTCTGTCAAAAAACTCATTAAAATCTGATTTTAAAACCAGACTGCAGAGGAAAAACAGGTCTTGGCTGATGGTTGGGGGGTGGGAGAATTATAGAATCACAATATGGTTTGGGTTGGAAGGGACCTCAAAGATCATCTAGTTCCAACCCCCCTGCCATGGGCAGGGACACCTGTCACTACACCAGGTTGCTCAAAGCCTCATCCAACCTGGCCTGGAACACTTCCAGGGATGGGCATCCACAACTTCTCTGGGCAACCTGTTCCAGTGCCTCACCACCCTCAGAGTGAAGAATTTCTTCCTTAGATCTAACTTAAATCTCCCCTCTTTCAGTTTAAAGTCATTGCCCCTTGTCTTATCACTATATATCCTTGTAAAAAGTCCCTCTCCAGCTTTCCCGTAGGCCCCCTTTAAGTACTGGAAAGAGAGAGGAAAGCCCTGTTACGGTGGTGTTGCAAATCCACTCTTCTCATTGCACTTGATTTCCTCCCTCTCCTCTTCCTTAAAGACTTTTCACACTGGTCTTCCCTGATCTACAGCTGAGACTTTGCCACCTCATTCCCACCCAACCGAGATGTGCTAACACATCCCGCCCTGGATGGAAGCCCATTGCTCGAGGACTGGTATTCCCCTTGGGAATGCAGAGATGAAAAGGATGCTACCTTTGCTACCTCCGGTTGCCCTGGCAACCACCAAGCCAGAAATCCCTATAGCCTAAAATCAAGGACTAATTAAAAAAAAATACAAGGGAGAGGTGTTTGAAAGTTCATTGCTTGATGGAGTCAGGAAACAACCCCCCTCCATTCATGCTGTGCCCCTTGGCCTCCCCGAGCCTGTCATTTGGCAAAGCATCAGCTGAAACAGAGCTGGAGTCAGGGCTGAAGACCCAAAGTCACTCAATGAAGGTTAAGGTACGTAAGTAAGAGGTGCAGAAACCTCAGGTTGTCTCTACGGTGGTGTGAAGAGAAAGAAATTGCTTCAGAAGGAGATGAAACCCACCTAAGGCCAAACC